CGCGTTCGGCGTGCTCGTATAATAGAGTACCGAAGTGAATACGTCACACGCACAATTAGTGCGTAAAAGGCACGAGCGCGCGGACCAGCCCGCGAACCAGCGCGTGAACCAACACGCGCGCGTACCGTTTGCACTGCACTCTCTGGTCGAGTTCGGGCGGCCTGTTCTTGACACGGGTTTCTTGTTCTCGCGCTCAAACGGCGGGAACACGACTCAAGAACACTGTTCTCGGAACAGGATAACACACCACCTCCTCGTCAGGGTTTTACAGGAAGGCACAGGAGAACTCGTGAGATTTGGACTTTTGAACAGCTGGAAAAAATAGAGAGACGGCCAAAGCCATAGACAACGGGAAGTTTTGCAAAATTGACATTAATTATTTTCCGTAACATAGAAATGAATGTTCCTGTATATAGAAAAGAATTCAGCCCATCCAAACATTAACTCTCGAATAACGTACCTTATATGGACGCCGCAATGCTACATGTTGCTTGTCACTAACTACCAGCGATAAACGGTTGTTTGTTCCCGGCGTTGGAGCGGCCGACCCACGAACAACAAATCGAGCTGTTCGTGAACATACGGGAACAAGCCGCCCGAACTCGGCCCCTGGTTCACAGTGACGTCACACTTCGGTACTCTATTAAAAATCGTTGCGCGCACTCAGCGTGCTCTGCGTCAACGCACATAAACTTGCGAACCTATGCCGTGCGTGAGTACTAAAGGACTGTCGATTTCATTTCAAAACACGCCCTCTTTTATTCATGCTCGGAGCAGATATAATGGAGATCGAGGGGTTACATACACTGATCGCCAGTAGTTGCACTGAGCTATGGAACCCGAAGTTGACGCACAGCTTCTGCGATCGTCCAATGGGAGCCTGCAAGTCGTGGCACGTCCGCCTTTGTGACGAAGTCACTTTACGAACGGGATAGGGAGCGCGTACATCCCGCTCTTTGAAAATGCTGCACGTGTGCACGTGATAACAACCGCAACGGTACACCACCTCAACTGAAAAAGGAGATTTACTCACATCCTTTTTCATTTATTTTTTCATGGTTCACCGTTGCAATGTTTCATCTGAGACCCAATCAGAAAGTGAAAAGAGGTCGGACAGAATTGCGTACTCATTATGTAGCCATTTAGCCCTTCAGACCGAATACAAAACTTCGTTTAAGAGAGATGTGTGCTGAAATTCTGTGGTGCACCGTTCACGATGCGCCTACCTCATCCCATTTTCAGTGGCCAACCTGCCGCTTGTTGTTCATACTTGCGAGCAGCAATCCCATTCGTGCAAATTGACTATGGACCCTTCCACTGAAAATAATCCTGTACCGATGGGTGATCATAACCCATAGCTTCTGTATCACTAACAATTAAATAACTATGTACATCCATATACTTTTTTGGGAGGGGATTATGCTCCTGACAGAACATATTACCACACCTTGCCTATAATAGTCATTATTTATTCCTTTCCATAACCATGTAATGCTTACTGCATCATACGGCAGCGCCCCAAAACAGCAACGCGGCAAACCCCAGCCCTCGCATGTGACACAGACCCACACTCATGACACCCACTGTCCACTCAGAAACTAAGACTGTCCTGGATAAAATAGTTGGAACACCTTCTGGGAAGGGCGTTGCAAAGATTCCCCTCTCCCCCATTCAATGTTGCATTCATTTATTGGACAAAGATTCGGCCCAACTTACCCAATGAGAAGCAACATTGACAGGGGGCGAGGGGGAGGCATGTTCCAACGAAATTTGTCCAGGATTGTAGGTTGTGGCCTGAGAATATCTTTCTCAACTGAAAAGCGCCCCAAATTTTTACTGCTAGTTTTCAGTGCCCCAAGGGTGGGCTTGACGTGACTTTCTTCACCTCTCGCCCAAAGGTATCATCTAATCAATTGTTACAAACACTTTCTCCCGTTTATCCCAATCACCTTACCAGCTTTGTGGTTCTGCCATTCTTCGGATGTGTAGCGAACATCTTCAAACTCCTGGCCAGCACAAGCCAGCAGCATGCGGGTGGGCTCGGCTAAGCCACGATTGTTGCCATACACCACTTTATAAGAAGGCATCTTGAAATATGGGCGAGATCGCAAAATGGGATAATGACTAGGATAGGGCCATATAGCACCTTGTGGTATGTCCTATGCAGAGGCAGTTGCTGCTGCGGAGCTGGAATGTGTAGCCACACACAACGCTGCCCTATAAGACTGAGCGCCAAAGCCGCTACGTAAACAATGTTTTTCTTTATACTTTCAATGACCACATTCTCTGTCGATTCAACAATAACAGGCCTTGCATAATGGCGATATACATGCATATCAATGCTGGTTTCAACATAAGGTTACTCTCTGACCTCAATTCTGCCTAGTCATGCTCGTAAGTTATGCTGCACTTGTGAGATGGGGAAAAACTAAAAAAGCGTTCTTATTAAAAAAAAGAAGACCTCTTTTTAAGTTTGATGGAAAGTCTGAAAATAATGACTGTTCCATGGAATAAATGCACTTTATGGTGATGGGTTAATTTTTTTTTTGAGTCTGTACCTTATCCACCTGTAGGATTGTGCTTAAGTGGAGTACAATCATTATGGCTTCTACTGACACATGTCACAGTGATATCGCTTTTTAGGTATAATGCCCCCAATTCCGACCTCAGTAGTCCCATTAATGCACCGGACGTTCATTCAATACGATCTTTATTTATTTATTTTTTTTTGGGGGGAGGGGGCGTCCTTCAAACTTCCGCACAGTCTTCCTTTGTCACTGAGGGAAGAGAGCTTTAGTGTTTTCAGCTCCGCGGTTGTCTCATTTCCGATTTCTTGAGTTTTGTTTAAGAACAGGATTTTTAAACAACACTAAAGGCTCCCGCTTGACTTTGGTGAAAAAGTGTAAACGTTTTATCGTTTATTGGAATACTAATCTCACTACTGTACGTGGAAGTTTAAAGTAATGTGGTTTTCAATCAGCACTTTAAATTCAAGAGTTGAATACACCTGCAAAATATTCTGATATATTCTAATGTAGTATAATTTTATGTACACATATTTCTATTTTTCCCCCTCCATCTCCAGCTGCAGTCTCAATATGGTTTCCGGGGAGGCATAACTTCAAAAGCGACAGCGGTTTCGGGCTTATTCGGCATGATGTTGGGGAAGAAAAGTTATCAAAAGCTTTACTTGCAGTCCCGACATCCTTGCTTTTTTCGTGGTGTTGTTTTCTTAGGCTTTCGGTGCGAAAATTTGAAAGATAAAATATCATTTTTGATGATTAGTTTCTACCCCCGCTCGATACGCCACTAGCTGGGTACGTAAATATCCACATTAGTGCAGCGGTAATGTCACGGCAGCAACAGTTTCGTGAAAGAAGAGCTTGAAATTGTCTCGTTTCTGGAGTTCAGCCCGACTGATTTATTTCTCTATGTGATTTAAAAAAAAAAACAGCTCTACAAAACTTGATTAAATGTATGTAATTTTAAAAACTTCAGTTAGCTGGTTTTGACTTTTCACAGAAAAGGTGTGACTCAAAGTACATACGCTGCTTATTAGAGCGAAGTGCAAAGTGCATGACAACACATGCAGACTGCATGGGATAGCAGCGTCCCTGTGTTTCAGGCATAAATCTAGATAGATATTAATAAGTCTCTGTAGGTGGGTTAAGTATCACATTCTTAATATTCAGGGTTAAACCAGTCATATCTCGTGCCTTTAGCTTTTCCATCAGACATAAAAAAATGACATTTGACAAATAAGTAGAATTGGCATCGCTTCAGCTCACTTCTCTCTAAACTTTCATGTCATATCCAAGGCATAATAAATTCGACAGGGACTGATATAGACATAAAGCACGGAGCTCCAAGGGCGGATCCAGAACCATTTTTTCGGGGGGGGGAAGGGGTGGTCCAAACTTTTTTCCAAAGGGGGGGGGAATTTTAAAAACATTTTTTTCGATGGCCTTTCTGAGGGGGAGGCTACCTATTTGGTACTTTCTACACGTTTTTAGAAGGAAGGGAAATGAACTAAACTCCAAATTGTCTTTCTCTTATATTTTGACAAAAGATTTTTTCCTTTTTTTCGGGGGGGGGGGGTGGCCGCCCTTTGCCCCCTTGGGTCCGCCCTTGTTTTTGCTACATAGCTCTACGCCTCAAACTTCCAAGCATCCTCTGCCCTTATCGGGAAATAACGCTGTCCTCTTCCCCCCTTTACCACTCTGTTTGCGGACGCTTAGCCAAGTAGGCGGCGATCTTGGGGTCCTTGGCAACGCGCTCCATCAGGGCTACCAACTTTGGATACTTCTTGACCTCGTTCTGATCCAGAAATTCCATGACGACGTAAAAGAAGATGTCGGCGCGAGAAATCTGGGAAAAGACATTAGTCATGACCAATCAGCCCATCAGAAAAAGCAATTCCAATAGCAAAAGAATTAAAACATGTCGTTATCGATCGTTGTCAACTTAATGTATCATGTGCTTGCGATCAATTGAGAGACTATATAAACTAATATCTTTGATAAGAAACATAAGAGGTGCTTTACTGTTTTGCTCGATCCTTCAAACTTATTAGAGCGCTTATTTTGCCTATCAAGAATCTAAATGCATTATTTACATCAATGGCAAGTTATATCTGTCTCACGGAAAATCACCGAACTCTGAACCTATTGATTAAGAAGCACGCATGCGCTAAGATGAGTCAAAAATCAAGCGTGTTGCATTATGGGAAAGTCATATGCTCTAACTTTTACCAAACTCTCAAGCTCTTACTTTGGAACCGACCAAGAATCCATCACCACCGTTCTCTACCAGCATCTTTTCAAGTGCCGTAAAGAACTTAGGAGCTGTCTCGGCATAAAATTTCGCCAATAATTCTTTCTGGAAGACATAAATGCCAAACATTACTCACACACATTGATACGATGTTATAGATTTCTCTGTGGGTCAAATCTCTAACGATTATGCAAGAGCTCTTTAAAGGGTAGTTGCTATCATTTTTTTATGATGGCAGCTAAACCTTCTAAATTGTGTCTCATTTAATCCCATTTTCAACTTTTGTTTTACTATTTCAAGGGTCTTTTACCGTCTCTTTCGTTTATACGCCAATGAGATTTTCATATTAATGAGAAAACTGTGATGTAATCTTAGGAAGAAAGCCCCATGCTGCATTTTTGTCAATTATCCTGGACACAGTTTTCTCTTCTTTGCCTATTCATTGTTGTTTATGGGCACAGCAATAACAAATCAATCCTTCTCCCATGCGCTGAACCATGTCTTCCCCAGATGATTTCACAGCAACAGTGCTCTCAGCCGTCCACGGAAGCATGGATAACTCTAATTGTTTAAAAATATGCACTATTCAGTGCATTTTGCCAAATAGGAAAGTAAAAGATTCCTACACTGAAGATTATAAATCGTAAAAAACTGTGTTTATAAAAATTCATTGCAGCCACCCTATAAGATAACTCAAAATTTTCTCAGGCAAGAGTAAAAAATGGTCAGACAGCAAGCACGTGACCTTGTTCGACGTTTTCTCCCCCCGGGAGATACGGGGCATCAGGAAGACAGGTGTTCCAGGTTGTCAAACGCCGTGCATGGATGGAAATTTCTCATTAACAGCGTATCATTTGGGGGTAAATTATTAAAACTATTCTTTTCAAATTCGAAGATATTTTTGACATGGACTCTAGTCTCTCCAGTCAGCTACTAGCCACACAAAAGTTTCCACATCGCATGGATTATGCACGAATAGAAAAGACCAAATGGGTAATTTATTAGATTCCATAAAAAAAAACAGTTTTGAGGGTTAAATGACTTCAGTATAACGTTTTTCGTGTATTTGATTGTTCCAATTTTTAAATAATATGGAGTCTTGAAAATGATTGCAATTAGTAATGGGTAAATGGACTGATAATTTACTGTTTTTTCATGCTTTGTTTGTTCTGTATAGGAGTAATTTTGTAAATTTGTCCAAGGGACCCAAAATGAATCAACCGTATCTTCTTTTCTCTGTGTACGACTGTTGCTTAGTTGAATGGTTTCTGAATAAAATAATAATAAAGATGACTTTTCAAAGAGGATTAAAATGATCACAAGTTATTTGGTTCATAAAGCGCAAGTTACCTTTTTTTCTTCGTCCTGTTCACGAAAGACAATCCTGCTGAGTGGAAGTCGAATGTCTTCAAGCGAAGCGATGATGACATCAATTTTAGTCGTCTCCTCGTTGTTGGCACCGTTTAAGCCTGCATGAAATAAGGACACAAACTTGTTGCACAATTTGGAGGCACGAGAATATATTCGATTTCATTTTTTAATCTTTCAAAAAATTTTTTTCTCAGTAGCCACTTACCATTTGGCTCTTAGTTCTGACTAGCCCCTGACTGGGTCCAGTCTACTGGACCTGGCCTACCTACCTCCGTATACGGAGGTAGTCGACCCCCATCAGGGGCTAGGTCAGGAAATGCTCTGTCTATATCGACAATGAGTTCATAAAATTGGTAGATAGCACTTATACTTTTGTGAATGAAACAAAGAGACAAAGAAAAAATCCCATTACATTGGAAATAGCAATGATTCCTGACAATTAACATTCTTTGACAACCTGTTGTGGGAACTTACCAAACTCCCTGGCCACAAAGCCGTGCATGGCCCGGCTCTGAGGGATTTTCTTACCGTCGACTTCAAGGTACGGTAGCTGCTGCATGGGGGCATCTGCCGAGGAAATATGACGTCAAGTCTGATTTCAAAAAGATTTCATATCTACCAGGGTGAAAACATTAAATATACTGCAAACGTCCATAAATGTTATTCGTATCCACAAATGCCAGATTCACTGAGGCATTTTTCCTTAACAACCTAAACCGGCATTGTTCAATTAGATTAGGCTCCAATCATGCCCTATTCAGTTTTTATCCCACAGTGGCATCCGAAAGAGACTAGCTCCCCTTGTCATTACGCTGTTTACCAGTTATATCTTACTTGGAATCTTTTAATCGTCTCATTTTGAATTTCATTTTTTATTTAGGTACTTAGTCGTAATTAAACAGTCATTTTGCGAACATTTTCTTGTATTGTGAATGTAACGTTTAAGTGAACTTTTAAATTCATAGACCTGCAAAATCAAATGGCATTTCCCAAAGAGGTAAAAGTGCAACCTCATGTCATGTCACATCACGTCATGATAAAAATTATTAGCATGCAGTGAATATATAATTGGGTGGAAGTAAGACGCAATGGTCATCTATAACGATCTCACGATAGCACCGAAGTGCTCATCTCAGACTTGAGCCACGTCTATATATGTTGCATTGGCGGAGATTTCTTGTCAACGTGCGGTTGATGATTTCTGAAAGCCTCCATCCCATCTGATGAGATCATGACACCAGCAAGTGTGGAGTCAGTGGTGCAGGCAAAGGGTGTGCTTAGTCAGTGACTTGAAGAGTGTGGGGGTGATTATATCGGTAATCCCCAAGGTCAAAAAGGTTGGGGTGAATCCCCCATCTCCCACGGGATCTCCGGCCATGCTATGTTTGCATCCAGGAAAAATTGTAATTCTCTGCAGCTGGCTGGTGCTTTGATGATACCTCTACTTACTTACTCTACTAGTGATACCTCTACTTACTTAAACATCGAGACAATGACGATTACGTTCATACGCAACTACTTTTGAAATCAGGGACGTGAAAGAAATATATTTATGTACATCTGCTGTGTCCTCTCAGGGCAACCATACAAAATTAATGGCCGCTTCTGCACCTGCTCTCAGCGTCATCGCTGGCCTTAGTCTTGGGTTTGGGTGGTCTAGAACAAATTAAAATCTTTCCATATGCTTTGTATAGGAGCGACAGTGCTCCAAAGCAAGGGGTGGAGGCCATGTCAGTACCTACCTGGCTGATCTACCGCTATATTCGGGGACACGACTTTGCGTGACCTCGGATAAGTACAAGTTGAAAACAAATGCATTGATTTTAAGTTACTTTGTAGGCCTATGGCAAAAAGTGCGTTCCCCTCGAATTGTTTTCACCGCGCTGTCCGGAAGTACTGCACAAGTCGCGTCCTCCTGTTATGGCTGCTCAACTAAACAACCCGATTATTAGGCCTGGCCAAGTTCGGTTTGGATTGAACCATAAAGCTATGACTAAACTCACCGGCTTTGTGCTGGGGCCATTCCTCACGCGAGTAGCGAATGTCCTCAAACTCCTGGCCGGCAAGGGCTAGCAACATGCGGGTGGGTTCGGCATACCCACGGCCATCGAAATACACCACCTTGTAAGAAGGCATCTTGAGCCAATGCAGATCAGAGAATCGTACGAGTTACGAGGCAAGAAACACCGAGCGGTATTGAGCAGCGGGCAGTAGCTTCGTTGCACATGCGGTCCTTGCAGAATTTGCAGCACGGCAGCACGGTCAATGCATATAACGTGTAATCAGATTCAATGCTCCTCTTATTATGGGCGAAGTTCACCTCTTATTATGGGCGAAGTTCAACGTGACCTTTCGATGTGCACCACTGTGGGAGTACGCACGCTTAGTTGTGGGCAGTGAAAAGTTCTGGTTTAGGATCAGGGGTGCCCTACAAAGGAGCTCTAATATCTGTGTCTATATCTGACTGTCGTTCTTGTCGATTTCGTTTGAATGTGAACAAAAGGATCAAACATACTTAATGTGCATCTGCTCTATGTATAGCCTTTGATCAAGGCGCCCGCGGCGAAATGGAATAATTCCGTGTGACTTATGTAACCACTGTTGAGACCACAAATCCTATTTCTTGCTGGGAATAGAGAAGCATTCAATGGGGATTACTGGGTCCCCTACACTGTCCTTACATCCTCCATGATATGGAATGCAGCCTACCATCCTTGGTCAGATTTTGTGGCTACGCCTTACCTCTTAATCTTGTTCACCGGCAAGCCAAGACAAACAGCCTTGGCAGAGAGTTGCTACAGCTACGGCCTGGGATGACGGAGAGAGGAACTTGGGAAATGTACAACGAAAGGACAAATCCAATCACTCCATCGACCCACTGATAATGAACAATAATGTACGGTTTCGTAAAAGTGGGTCTCCTATTGGTTCAGATGCTTATTGCAAACGTGACTGCATGCTTGTACGGGCCTACGAAAAGGGAATGCACACTAATGATCTATTTATGGCGAGGCGCGGGGGGGGGGGGGGTTAACGTGGCAGTTCTTT